TGGGAGATGGAGAAGGATCGTTCGGCGAGCAGCCGGAGGCTGCAGCAGAGCAAATTGTTTTTAGGTAAATGGCCCTGCCCCACATTGCAACAGCCCAAGCTATCGCAACTGAATACATGAAGTGCATCGCTTCTCTTAATTGTTTCTACAACTGGGCAAAGAGAAGTCAGAGATGTAAGACAATGAACAATGGTACAACATCGACAAATATGGGCAAGAGAGATTTTTTAGAAACAATCAACTCCTAGTTAATATCATGAACAACAATATGAACAAAAACAAACCAGACCATTAATTAAAACATAAGGGCGTAATGATTCAAATGAGTACCAAGTTTATTGACTCCAAAATTCATATTCACCAGGAGCTATCCAAATACAAAATTACAAATACAGCTACATAAGGGCTGCGTGTTCAGATTGAACAAACAAAATCCAATTTTTATTCTCAAACATGGGCTGACAAGCAACCTCATCAAAACTCAAATATCAAAACATCTCGCAAACAGAAAGGTCAACAAATACATGAGATGGTATGTAGAAACAAGAACTTGAGGAAAAAAACTCTACTACTATGCGTTTCTGCTGGTACACACAGGGACAACCGACTTGTGATATTAATGAGTGAGAAGATTTGGAGCATAAGAAATCCATTGGAGATTCGTCATACCAGGCTGCCGATTTTTTCTGGGGGCGATGCTGGGTGGGTCTCGAGAAGAGCGACGATCGGAGGAGGGGATACGATCGCCTGAGATCTCGTTTGGGGAAGAAGAAGGAAGATCCCAGAATGGAAAGGCGTAAATAGGTCTTCAATACTCCCCTTTTTTAGTCATTCACGGTCAAACTTTAATTACATCATTTATATATTTTCATTAGTCATTTGAATAAATAATACTCCCTCCGCCAGAAATATTCTTTTTATTTGACTTTTTACGGTTTCTAAGATTACACTTTGACCACTAATATCTTTATATATACATGAATATATTTTTATAAACATTTGATATTTGAAAAATATATTTCAAAATAAATATATATATTCATACTCCCTCCGTCTCCCTAAGATGTTCTGATTTTGACTTTTGAGGGTTTTTAAGGAGAGTTGAAAAAAGGTGAAAGTTTACCATAATATCCTTAATGAAAAATGGGTGGAGTCTATTAAATGAGGTGGGTGAGGTGTAATAAATAAAGTGAGGGTAGTTGTGGTATTTTAATTGTTAAAAAATGAAATGAGAAGATCTATTGTGGACAAAAAAAGGGCTATTGAAAAGATCTATGGGGGACGGAGGGAGTATTAAAATTATATCATAATACAATGTATTTTTTCTACATATCATAGTCAAAGTTTACAAAGTTTGATCAAGAAAAGTCACATGGAAAGAATATTTCCAGACGAAGAAGTATAATATTGCCACATCTTCTTTTGTACTACCTCCGTCCCAGATTATATGACCAATTTTGACTTTTTTCCGTCAATTGTTTTCAATCTTTGACCTATAATTCAACAAAATATATATTATATATTAATTAGATAAAATATTTTTAAAAAAATATATTGTATAATAAATCTAATAAAACTATTTTATATCAATATCTAATATGATTGTTACTATTCACACGGTCAAACTTTAAATACTTTATTCACATGGCGATTCAAAAGCTCTCTTCTCTCACCTGAAAAATTGTTACTATTCACACAGTTAAACTTTAATTACTATATTTGCACGGTGATTCACAAGCTGTCTTCTCCCTTATATTCTTTGGATGGAAAACATTTCAAAAAAGGCGTGAAGGTGTGTAATTTCACTAATAGCTTACTTAAGCGCCATTCCGTTCAACTTATTTTTTTTATTTTTTTTATTCTTATTAAAATAAGAATAAATCAGATTAGACTAGATCAGATCAGATCGAATCAAATCGGATCCATTCAGATCAGATCCAATATGATCAGATCAGATCGAATCAGATCAGATCTAATTAGATCAAATCAGATCAGATCTCATCAGATTAGATCAGATCAGACCAGAACTACAGACAATGAGATCAGATCAGAAAAAGTAAGTTGAACGGAACGAAGTCTTAATCTGATAACTTATTCAAATTGATCATTAAGAAAATGTTTGTGTTTGTTTATTGTTCAAATTTGTAATTACAAGAGTTGTGTAGTTTGCAGATGGAATTCACTTGACTATTGAAGAGACACAACTACAAGCTGGATTTTTCTAAATGTTTGATGGCCTTTTGGATTTTTATTACTATACGTGTCTCTTTTTTGACATGGAGTGGCTAATTCATTCATTAGTTAATACACCAGGGTTCCCAATGCCATGGAACTTTGCCCTAATAAATAATATGGAACTTTGCCCTAATAAATAATATAGATTGATATTAAAGTTTTTAAAACTAATTAAAACATGAAAGTATGAAGTTTTATACTCCCTTTTGCCTTGAAAACATGAGAGATTTTGATTTTTTTAAGGATTTAAAAGAAGTATATTTGGTATTGAGTTTTCAAAAGTGTCTTTAGGTGTAATGAGTAAAATAAGATTTGAGAGAAATATATTTGATGGTTTAGTATGATTAAAATTTCTAAGGTGTCAAATTGAATGCCTGTGTCAACCAACTTGGCATATCTCTATTCTTGTTGATCCCTTACCAAATTAGAGGAACTTATTTTTTTCATCCTCTTTATACATCTTACTTTCTAAGTTTCTTTTTCTTGAAAAATATCTTCCACTTTATTTTATTTTCTTTTCCCTTTCAACCCCTTGAACCAAACATGGTGTTAAATTTTTTCTAATGTTTACACTCCTCTCTTTTACTTCTCTCAAAATAAACTAATTACGGAGTACATTTTTGTTTAGGATGCCAGCCTTAAATACTCTCTAGTACGGAGTGTTTTTTAAACATATCTTTAACCATACACTTCCGACTTGTTAACATTTTGCTTGAACCACATGAAATTCATTTCAAACAAGACGATTGCAACACAATACGAATATTTGAGGAAAATTGCGCTCAAAACAAACAAGAACATGCATTATTCCGGGACAAAGTGTTGATTCTTCATACAAGTAATCGTAGCGAACGGATTAAATTATGTCTAGGCAACACACCATGGGATACATAAACATATCCAGAGCATCCAAATAAAATACTCTGTAGAAAAGTGATTTCGATTTATAAGCTGCCAAATTGAATGCAAGTGTCAACCAACTTAGCATATCTCCATTCCTGCTGATCCAATCTCTACCGTTCCCAAGTTGAAGGAATTCGAGTTTAGATTCAACCCGGGTGTGTATAGGAGTTCATATTGCTCCCAAAGCTCCTTCACACCTTTGTTCTTTACACTGGGGGATTAACAAATACACAGTAAATCAAATTCAATTATAGCAAAGAAGAAAGATCATTTGGATACCTTTCGTAATCTTTTTCGTCCAGAAGCTTCAGCATCTCTTTCGCTGCACATACCATATTCTGTGCTCCCACTCTACAAGAACACGGATTTTATACATTCAATTATACCCCAAAAACATGAAGATACTCAAAAAATGTACTCCTTTTCACTCACTCTTGGCTAATGTTGATGATCTCTTCAAGAGCATTGTGAATTGCCTCCCACTTATCGCGACGGTGTAGCCCATAGCTGTGCAATTTATTAGAAAAACATTCAGTTAAAAAATAATGGGGAAATATTAACTAGTGATTCAGTAGGTGCAAAAAAAAAAAGAATACTCACATAGCTTCGTGAATGCCATCAACAATTCCACAAAAGTTCAACAGGTAGCGCCTTATGGTCAGAGGCCGGTATTCTGTTGCTTTAAGCCAAGCTTCTTCGGCGTCTTCGTCAACCACATTAATTGTACGAGGCTGGTATGTCGAGAGCTCAGGAATGTCCATTCTTGACAGATAAGAAAATGACATGATCGAAATTATATTCAGGGTTCGGAATGTCTGTGAAATGAAGGAAATGGTTAAAAAAGACATTCTCACCCTCCATCCCAAGAATTTCATATTTTAACAAAAACATCCATGACTACATGCATGATGCACCCTCCGTATTTAACAAAAACATCCATGACTTATATAATCCTCCGTATTTAAAAAGAACTTGTTTAGAGTTAAAAAAACACCAGATTCGGAAAACATCAAATTTCAGTTGAATGGAAAGTGTGGTTCAACAGGGAAAAAAACCCCTATTCTATGAAGATCCTAATACGTGTCCAAAAATCCATTTAACATGTTGATTGTGGGAGGATGAATATGTGTTCAAAGCATAAATTGATTAGAGCACAACTAATTATGAAAAGAGGTTTACTCATCCTCGGAGCATATATTCATTCTTCAGATTCAAATCCAATTATTCAATTTCTGTAGCATCCAAATTTGAATCCAATGATTCAATTTCAGAAATTGTTCATACTACATGTTTAAACATCACACGAAGTAAATAACGTATGTTTAAAACGAATTATGCAATTTTCAAATTCCAATATTCAGATTTGAGATTGTTAAATGGCATCCATAGTGTACATATTTCATGTTATTGTTTATGCAACAAAACATGCGGTTCAGATCGCAATTTCAGATCTAAAACATTATGATCAGAATCAGGAAAATTTAAAATACCTGAAGCGCGAGTGAGTGGATTTCGGGGTAGAAGCTGGATCTCGGAGGTTGCAGCGTCCTCCTCTTCAATGGAAGGGAAGAGAACGAATGTGTCTTTTTCAGCGGAAGGGATTCTCTGTGTGCGGCTCAGAATAACCCTACGATTGCTGTGCCGTGGAATAGAGACTTGCCCTACCGTACAAATGTACAATACTCATCTACATCCAAATGTAATAGGTATATCCCGATAGTACTCATTTTGAAATAAAGTGATACTCATTCTCGGACAAATAAAAACATTCATTTCGAAATACGTAGTACTCATTCTGGCAAAGATAGTACTCATTTTAAAATAAAGTACTCATTTTTACACATTTGTCTAATATGAAGTATAATTATACTCGGGTAATAAATAGCGTAGTATTCATTTTTTAAAAAAATAATGCTCATTTTCAAATAGAGAAATGTTCATAATGAAATAAAGTATTGTTCAATTTTTTTCACAATTAAAAAGTTCAGTACCATCATCAACTTCTTCCTCTATTCGATTCGTTCATACTCATTTATACTCTCTGAATATGAAAAATTTAAAACCAAGGTTTATTCATGTTTGTATTGAATAAGAATATGATAATTCTCATAAGTGCTGGTACTCCTTCTCAAATGTGTTGATATTTATTGTCAAATATAATGGTTCTCATATATGTTCTGGCGTTGGATAAAAAAGTTGCAAAATTTATAAAAATATCAGGTTGTACCTAAATGAAGGTACAGCTGGATGTACCATGTAATTTGCACATCTACTCATGCTCCCGGGCTGGCGATGGTGGCTTTATGAGAAGTCATGAATTTGAAGAACAAAGGTGGGCTATTTAGAAAAACAATTGGGCTCAAAAGTTCGCATAGTTGGGCTATTTAGAAAAACAACTACATCCATCCATTTCTCTTAAATTTTCTAAATTCACACCAATATTTATATTATGTTAATGGATGTGAATTTAGCAAATATAGAAAAAAGGTGTGGATATATTCATTTTTGGGTGAATTTAGCAATACCCTTTTGAAAATTACTTATACGGAGTATCATTCTAAAAAATCTCAACTCTTCCCTAAACAAATTTTTTATGTTTTAACTCTATGCAGTTCATTTTCAAGCTAATTTGGAGCCTTTTTGAGTTACTTTAGCACATTAAATTACTTCATATCAATCCAAACATTGTCAAATATTATCAAAAAATATTTACTAGATAATCACAACAAATTTGAAGAGTTTTAGACTTGTCTTAATGCTTAGTGATATTATCCTAATTTTATGTTGTTAGAATCTTCTAAAAATAATGTAAACTAGCATGTTCAAGTTGATGTAATCTTTATTGGTTGTTACCTATAAATACTACCCAAAGCTCTTCATATTTGCGATAAAGAGTTATGTTTTTTTAAATATTTGTTTGTTCAAAAAGATTGAACAAGAATAAAATTTCTGTAAAAAAAAAGTTGTTATATTATTCTCTTCGTCCCAAATTAAATTACATGTTTACTACTTTGGTTATTCATATAATTAAACTACATTTACCTTCTTTCCCTATTTTGCTAGTCATTTGATAAAATAATTCTTTACTATAATATTAGAGACTTCAACTCTTAAAATTTCAACATATGGCATGACTACATGACACAATTTTTTACAATTCAACTAAAACCTATTTTAATACTCACTAAACCCGATCACTGGGTCGGGTATCCGGCCCGCCCGCAAAATAGCGGGCTTGGGCTTGATACTTTAGGGTACGGGTCGGGTTTGGGCCTAATAAATGGCAGCCCGAAGATTTTAGGGCCGGGCTCAGATTTATGCTCAAGCCCACGGGCCGGCCCGACCCGAATAAATTAAAATATTTATTATTAATATAATTATAATTAAATAACAATAACAACATTAATACTAATAAAGAACAAACCTATTTCAAATTATTATAAACACACACACATACTTTTATGGATAGAAAAAATAAACTATAAGTTTATATAATATAATGAATACATCTTTACTACTCCATATTGTTTGCAACGTATCGCACATTGATTATGACATTCTAATAGATAATATTTTGTACTCCATACATAGTAGCAATTTCAAACAAAATATATTTATATATTAATTTTACTTTCATTACTCATAATAGTTTTTGTATCAAATATCTAATATATTAACTTGTTACTTTATTTTTTAAAAAAATTATTTTTTAAATTATTTAGAAGTTTTTGTTGGTTGGGCCAGGTCGGCCCGAAGCCGACGGGTAACCATGCGGGCCGGGCTCGAGCTTCAATTTTTAGGCCCGTTATACGCTCCGGGTCGAGCCGGGCTTGGGCTTAGGAAATTCTCGTAAAGTAGTGTTTCGGCCCGGCCCAAAACCCGGTCCGACCCGCACTTTGATCAGGTCTAATACTCACAGACAGGACTCAACAATTTCATTCGGGCTTTAAATTAACCAAATATGGTGTAGATCTACTTTATTCAAATCTCCAATTTTCTTTCCTTCTACTGCAAAAAATGATTAATAAAATTATTTTTAGTGACATAAAAAAATTAAAAACAACAAAGAATTCTTAATAACGTTAAAAAACAATAAAGATTGCGTAATTATTCAAAAAATAAGTTCCTTGTGTGGACAAATGTACTACTAAGCGCCTTCGGAGTATGTTTTGATATAGAAATAGTCAAATAGATATCAAAGTCAAAATGTTTAGAAAGAAGCAAACAACTAAATATAAATGGAGAATGCTAAAAACCCCCACCCTTGCTACCACCCATGCCCCCCCTACATAAATATGTGGTAGGGAGGTAAGAAAAATAAAGTTAGAGGGTGGGGGGAGAATGAGTGGAGATAAATATGTGGTGAAGAAGTGGATGGAGGCAAGGTTGGAAGCAAAAGTGAGGGGTGTGTAGCATGGTCCAATATAAATAGAGTGATGCTTACCTGATTCTAAGGTCTACATTTACAATCAGAACTCGACCTTGTCATATTTTTCATTGGCTTACATGTAGATATACATGTTCTTTTTGAAGAAAAAAACTCACTTCTTTTATGTTACAAAAACACTAAGGTTCAAAAAATTAGCATAGACTTTAAGTCTACGAAAAAATCGCCATATAATTATTTTAAAATTAAACTCCTCTATGTTGGTTTGCCTATCCATTTTACTACTTCATTGAATAATTTACAGTTCAAATTTTGAATTATAATTAAATTAAAAGTCTTTAGGCACAAATCTTTTTAAAAATAGTGATTTTTAAGAGAAACTGGTACTTCACTCGTGCGTTGCACGAGAATTGGCTAATTTTTCTAATTAGGCAAAGGGTAGGACAAGTCTAGAGGTCTTCTCGATTTGATTTGAAAAATAAAATTAAACTACACTACTAGGCGCATTTGACAAAAAGAAAATAAATAGCACGAGTATAGAACTAGGCATTGGACCAATGCATCATCTAGATCAACTACAATTGTCAGTTGTCACATATTTAATCAAATTAACCTTATTATAAACAGTGTTTATAAAGTAATTGAATAGGAGAGACATACGTTGTGATTGCACAAGATATTTCAAACCGAATTTATTAAAATGAGAATATCTGTTTCTGTTCTGTTTTCGATTAAAGGTTATCGTGACTCCGGGGCAAACCATGTGCCTTAAGTTTAATACCTTAACCTTAACTTCTGAAGTTAAGCAATTCTGGTGTTTGGTAGCACAAAAATTATGTGGATTTGGAATTGATAGTGCAAAAAAATGAATTGGAATTGGCAGAATCCAATTCTATGGAATTGAATCCCATGGAATTTCAATTCCAATTCAATTTCAATTCCGTCAATTCCGTATACCAAACGGACTCTGAATCAATTTGATATCATCTAATTCGGGACTACCCGTGAAGTTTCAATACATACAATTCCCAATAGCTTTATGTTTTACTAATGTTTGGACACAATAAGCAAAAAAGTTGGCACTGCTACGGTGCTTACCCAAAGACATCAAATCCCTCTTATCCTCTTCACCAGCTTTGCTTTCAAAGCAGCACCATAGCATCACAAAAAAAAGGGGGGGCTCCCAATCTTGTTAATCAAGCTACAGCAAAACGACCATCTTTACGGCTGTGAAGTAGCAAAGAAATAACGTCAAGTGAAGTGATAAAACAAGACAAAGAAGAAGACCAATAAATGAAGTCAGCGAAACTCACACAATCATGCATTTCTTAATGGAGGAGAATTTAACGTCAGGGAGAAGTGTGGATTTCGAAATCTGAACAGAAGGTCCTTGAAAGATGTATTTCTTGCAACAGAGGGAGTAACTGCAATCCTTTGAAGTGAGAATATTAAAGCGCCCATAGAGTTCGATCGCATACAACCCATCATCAGCTACAGGAATGAGATTGCAACCACTTACACACCTGAATGAGAAATATAAGAGCTCTTCTATGGATCTTTTGCCGAGATCAAAATGTTTGCCCAATTCAACGGAATAGCACGTCAGTGTCTTAACGTCATGGCAATAAACAACAGTTGGTGAAGCACCAAGTGTATACACACAACGGCCAATGAGTGTTGGATGGTGCGTGATCTTATTACATGTCTGAAGGAGTGTGATGTTGCATTCACCACGACTGACATAGCGACACATCACAATGCCCTTCCACCCAAATAAGAAAAGATTCCCTTCCGCATCCATAACATCTCCGTATACATCACTGGGCAGTGCACATGTACTCGAATCATAGTTCACCTTCACATAACTCCATTCCCTTCTTTCGCCATCATACACCTCTGCCCAATTGTGATGGCTACTCTTCTCCCCATATTCCTCGGGCTCCCCACCGTATCCAAAAGCATAAAGTGAGCCCCCGGACACGACAAGGCGAGGGCAAAGTCGGGGCGTGAGGAAAGTACTCCTCTGCCACCCATCTCCTGGGTTATGTGTGTCGATGCTATAAACCCATCTAGAAGCTGCAGCACGGGGGTCAAGAGAACGACCCTTCGGCCACCAACCACCGGCGACAAATAAGCTGGTGCCAAGGATCGCCGTCATAAAATTCGAAACAGGATCAAGCATCTCTAGCACAGGAAGCGCATCATTCGCAAGCTCAAGAGTGAAGTCTTCTTTTATATAGACCACGTGGCAATTGCAACGCATTCTACCAGAGACACGATCTCGGCCTATCAAGCCAAAGACGTAAAGGGTGGTACAGTCGGCATTTCCAGCCAAATTGGATCTGGATGGAACAATTTGCTGCAGTGCATCCTTGATTGGCGACTCCTGAACCAATAAAGAAAAAGCTCCAGAACTTTAGGATCTACCAATGAATCGAATGATTAGGAACTCCATAAAAAGAAGAAAATATATTCTTAGCAAGAAAGTTAAACATATACCACTGAGTGATTCTCTTATGAGTTATGACCATCCATTTTAATGTAACAACAGAGTAAGTCAGGGTACAAAGAGTGATATAAGTCGATGGAGATGCGAATAAAAAAAAAACCAAATCTTACTTTAATATCAGAATCAGAGTAGTCTTCATCGGAATCGCCGGAGGCTTCTTCATTCTCTGATGCATCGGTGACGGTGCCCGCGCGTTCATCGCTAGCGATCGTGGGAGATGGAGAAGGATCGTTCGGCGAGCAGCCGGAGGCTGCAGCAGAGCAAATTGTTTTTAGGTAAATGGCCCTGCCCCACATTGCAACAGCCCAAGCTATCGCAACTGAATACATGAAGTGCATCGCTTCTCTTAATTGTTTCTACAACTGGGCAAAGAGAAGTCAGAGATGTAAGACAATGAACAATGGTACAACATCGACAAATATGGGCAAGAGAGATTTTTTAGAAACAATCAACTCCTAGTTAATATCATGAACAACAATATGAACAAAAACAAACCAGACCATTAATTAAAACATAAGGGCGTAATGATTCAAATGAGTACCAAGTTTATTGACTCCAAAATTCATATTCACCAGGAGCTATCCAAATACAAAATTACAAATACAGCTACATAAGGGCTGCGTGTTCAGATTGAACAAACAAAATCCAATTTTTATTCTCAAACATGGGCTGACAAGCAACCTCATCAAAACTCAAATATCAAAACATCTCGCAAACAGAAAGGTCAACAAATACATGAGATGGTATGTAGAAACAAGAACTTGAGGAAAAAAACTCTACTACTATGCGTTTCTGCTGGTACACACAGGGACAACCGACTTGTGATATTAANGCGTAATGATTCAAATGAGTACCAAGTTTATTGACTCCAAAATTCATATTCACCAGGAGCTATCCAAATACAAAATTACAAATACAGCTACATAAGGGCTGCGTGTTCAGATTGAACAAACAAAATCCAATTTTTATTCTCAAACATGGGCTGACAAGCAACCTCATCAAAACTCAAATATCAAAACATCTCGCAAACAGAAAGGTCAACAAATACATGAGATGGTATGTAGAAACAAGAACTTGAGGAAAAAAACTCTACTACTATGCGTTTCTGCTGGTACACACAGGGACAACCGACTTGTGATATTAAGGAGTGAGAAGATTTGGAGCATAAGAAATCATACCAGGCTGCCGATTTTTCTGGGGGCGATGCTGGGTGGGTCTCGAGAAGAGGGACGATCGGAGGAGGGGATACGATCGCCTTAGATCTCGTTTGGGGGAAGAAGAAGGAAGATCCCAGAATGGAAGGGCGAAAATTGGTCTTCAATACTCCCTATGTTTCTTTATATAGATATTTGGAATTTATTCAAAATAATCTCAACTTTACCCGGTCTTTCAAAAATAATCTCATCTTTCACTGTGATGCATAATAATCCCAACTTTATTGAAATTTGCCAATTTTGGGTCGCCGTTAAGTTTCTAACGGAGGGTTAACGGAAATGCCTGTTTTAGACAACAAAATGAAAGTTGGGATTATTTTTGATAAATTTTTATTTTTTTAATTTTTTTTGAAATTTTTATTTAAATTTTTTGAATTACTTTCAACCTCTATTTCTTTTTCTTTTTTTGAAGATTATTCTTGCCTTAGAAAAAAAATAGATATAAAAACAATGAAAATGACAAAAATAATTAAAACAGTACAAATTAATCAAATGAATAATGTAATCAATAGAAATTAAACAAAAACTCGTAAGAAATAAAATAAATATATACGGAGTGGTGGGTTTTAACATTTTACACACTACACGAATTCTTAATATACTACTTATTTTTTAAAAGAACAAGCCGTCCGGTAAAATTGGAATTATCGTAGATAATTTTTTCTAAGAAATAAGTAGTGATATGTTAATACTGTGTATAATACGTAAAATATTAAAACCCACCCGTATATTTTTATTTTACTCTTACCAATTTCAAGTTAGTTTTCATTGATTGCGTTATTTATTTTATTATTTTTGTATCATTTTAGTTACATTTCTCATTTTTTCATTTTGATATCTATTATTTTTATTTTTTAAACTAAGACTAATCTTTAAAAAAGGAAAAAGAAATGATGATGGAGGTAGAGAAAGTAATTTAAAAAATTTAAATAAAAAATTTAAAAAAATGAAAAAAAATGAAAAAAATGAAAATTCATCAAAAATAATCCCAACTTTCATTTTGTCGCCCAAAACGGGCATTTCCGTTAACCCGCCGTTAGAAACTTAACGGCGACCCAAAATTAGCAAATTTCAGTAAAATTAGGATTATTATGCATCACAGTGAAATGTGGATTATTTTTGAAAGACCAGGTAAAGTTGAGATTATTTTGGGTAATTTTTTCTAGATATTTTCATTAATCATTTGATTAAATAATACTCTTTCCACCGGAAGTATTTTCCCATTTGACTTTTTACGGTCTCCAAGATTACACTTTGACTACTAATATCTTTATTTATACATGGATATATTTTTATAAACATTTAATATTTAAAAACTATATTTTAAAATGAATATATTCATATTAAAGTTATATAATAATACAATGTATTTTTTCTACATATCATAGTCAAAGTTTACACATTTTGACTAAGAAAAGTCAAATGGGAAGAATATTTCCAGACGTAAGAAGTACTACCTCCGTCCCACTGTCTTTGTCCACTTTTGACTTTTGGAACTGTTCATCTATGCACTTTGACTCATCAAATTCTCTCAATGTGTAAGCCTAAAAATAGTTTTGTGTGATCTTGTTTGATTCGTCTTAACATATAGATTATTAATATATAATTTCTATAATTTTTTAATATACAAATTACAAGATAAAATGGATTAAAGAAGTGCATTGGATGGTGTGCCAAAAGGTAAGTGGACAAAAACAGTGGGACGGAGGGAGTATAATATTGCCACATCTTCTTTTGTACTACCTCCGTCCCAGATTATATACCCAATTTTGACTTTTTCCCGTCAATCGTTTTCAATCTTTGACTTATAATTCAACAAAATATATATTGTATATTAATGAGATAAAATATTTTTAAAAAATATCTGGTATAATAAATCTAATAAAACTATTTTATATCAATATCTAATATGATTGTTACTATTCACACGGTCAAACTTTAAATACTTTATTCATACGGTGATTCACAAGCTGTCTTCTCTCTCACCTGAAAAATTGTTACTATTCACATGGTTAAACTCTAATTATTATATTTGCACGGTGATTCACAAAGTGTCTTCTCTCTTATATTCTTTGGGTGGAAAATATTTCAAAAAAGGCGTGAAGGTGTGTAATTTCTCTAATAGCTTACTTAAGCACCGTTCCGTTCAAATTATTTTTTTATTTTTTCTTATTCTTATTAAAATCGGAATAAATCAGATCAGATCCAATCAGATCAGATCGAATCGGATCAGATCCAATTAGATCAAATCAAATCAGATCTCATCAGATTAGATCAGATCAGACCAGATCAAATCAGAACTACAGGCTATCAGATCAGAAAAAGTAAGTTGAACGGAACGTAGTATTAATCTGATAACTTATTCAAATTGATCATTAAGAAAATGTTTGTGTTTGTTTATTGTTCAAATTTGTAATTACAAGAGTTTTGTAGTTTGCAGATGGAATTCACTTGACTATTGAAGAGACACAACTACAAGCTGGATTTTGGATGGCCTTTTGGATTTTTATTACTACATGTGTCTCTTTTGTGACATGGAGTGGCAAATTCATTCATTAGTTAATAATATACCCCTCCGTCCCAAATTATTTGTCACATTTCTATTACCTCTTTTCAATTCATTTTATTTACATATTGGTAAAGAAATAAAAAATAAAAATTACATATCAAAAAACTACATAAAAAGTTTTTTAAAATAATAGGTGTCAAAAGTATTTTATTTTATCAAATAATCAATGAAAATGTAGAAATAAACAAAAATTCTCGCAACTGTTGAAAAAGCAAATGTGTCAAATAATTTGGGACAAAGGGAGTAGATTGATATCAAAGGTATGTTTGTGGGTGTGTTCATTTCTCTTAAAAAAATTGTTTCCATTTTAGAATGTCTTTTTATTTTTTTGAAAAAGTTGTTTTTCTTACAAGAATTTTTTTGCTGGTTTTGCAGCAATATGCTACAAGATATGGCATGCTCGTAACCTCAAAATTAAGCAGAACCGTATTATTTCTCCTGAAGAAAGTAGTGCTTGCATTAGGGATTATGTGAGAGTTTACATAAATGCTAAGTTGAAGAGGGTGTGGCTAAGGTAGGGAGATTTGGATAGCCTGGTCGGTTTGAATTGTGTTTGTAATTGATGATGTGGTGAATAAAAATTATTTGCATTTGTTCAAAAAGAATTTTTTTGCTCTTGATCAATTATGTCAACATGATTGAGGTGGATTGATTTGACTATAATAGACTAATAGTCTTTGATAAAAAAGTTTTGATATACCAGGAAAGAATTTAAGGTTAGTTTTTTTCATTTCAATTTTTTTTTGGTTTTACGTCTTAAATTATACTCCCTCCGTCCCAATTTAAATCGCTCATTTTGACTTTTGGGCATATTTAAGGAAAATAAAATGTAAAGTTGATTTTTCAAAATTGACATTACTCCCTCCGTCCCACTGTATTTGTCCACTTACCTTTTAGCACACCATCCAATGCACTTCTTTAATCCATTTTATCTTGTAATTTGTATATTAAAAAATTATACAAATTATATATTAATAATCTATATGTTAAGACGAATCAAACAAGATCACACATGACTATTTTTGGCTTACACATTAAGAGAATTTGATGAGTCAAAGTGCTTAGATGAACAGTTCCAAAAGTCAAATGTGGACAAAGACAATGGGACGGGGGGAGTATTTTTTAAGAGGGGTAATGATGAATGAGAAAATAAGGTGAAAAAGAATGACTTATTTTAAAGGTAGTTTAGGTATTTTATTTTTAATAGTTTACGAAAACAACTAACAGGCAATTTATTTTGGGACGGAGAAAAAAGGCAAACAGGCAATTTAAAATGGGACGGAGGGAGTATGGCTTTATATTACTTTAATTGAACACTTTAGAGCTTTGAACCGTGAGAGGAAGTAAGTTCACTATAACTTCCATATTCTGATTTGAGTTTTTGTTCACTTATTGATTTTTTCTTTTTGTAGACTCATTCTATTTCAACTTTGCAATGTCCTGAATTGTATTGTGTAAGAGGTCAATATTTTTTCCATTTTATTCTAAAATATAATTTTATCATACTTATATACTAAGCATATTCATATGTAAGAGGTCAGTTTTTAATATACTGAGTGTTTTTTTGAAGCTTGTATTAATGATGATATCTTTGTGAACATGATCTTTATGTTGTGTGTTTACAAAAGACATTTTTTTTAAAATTTGTATTAAAGTTTTTAAAACTAATTAAACGTGAAAGTATGAAGTTTTATACTCCCTCCTGCATTGAAAATATGAGAGATTTTGATTTTTTTAAGAATTTAAGATAAGTATATTTGGTGTTAAGTTTTCAAAAGTGTTTTTAAGTGTAATAAGTAAAGTAAGATTCGAGAAAAGTATATTTGATGCTTTAGTATGATTAAAATTTCTAAGGTGTCAAATTGAATGCATGTGTCAACCAACATGGCATATCTCTATTATTGTTGATCCCTTACCAAAATTAAAGGAACTTATTTTTTTCATCCTCTTTATACATCTTACTTTCTAAGTTTCTTTTGCTTGAAAAATATTTTCCACTTTATTTTCTTTTCTTTTTCCTTTCAACCCCTTGAACCAAACATGGTGTTAAATTTTTTCTAATGTTTACACTCCTCTTTTTTACTTTCTCTCAAAATAAACTAATTACGAGTACATTTTTGTTTAGGATGCCAGCCTTAAATACTCTCTAGAACGGAGTGTTTTTTAAACAAATCTTTAACCATACACTTCCGACTTGTTAACATTTTGCTTGAACCACATGAAATTCATCTCAAACAAGCCGATTGCAACAGAATATGAATATTTGCGCTCAAAACAAACAAGAACATGCATTATTCCGGGACAAAGTGTTGATTCTTCATACAAGTAATCGTAGCGAACGGATTAAATTATGTCTAGGCAACAACACCATGGGATACATAAACATATCCAGAGCATCCAAATAAAATACTCCGTAGAAAAGTGATTTCGATTGATAAGCTGCCAAATTGAATGCAAGTGTCAACCAACTTAGCATATCTCCATTCCTGCTGATCCAATCTCTACCGTTCCCAAGTTGAAGGAATTCGAGTTTAGATCCAACCCGGGTTTGTATAGGAGTTCATATTGCTCCCAAAGCTCCTTCACACCTTTGTTCTTTACACTGGGGGATTAACAAATACACAGTAAATCAAATTCAATTAGAGCAAAGAAGAAAGATCATTTGGATACCTTTCGTAATCTTTTTCGTCCAGAAGCTTCAGCATCTCGTTCGCTGCACATACCATATTCTGTGCTCCCACTCTACAAGAACACGGATTTTATACATTCAACCAAAAAAATGAAGATACTCAAAAATTGTACTCCTTTTCACTCACTCTTGGCTAATGTTGATGATCTCTTCAAGAGCATTGCGAATTGCCTCCCACTTATCGCGACGGTGTAGCCCATAGCTGTGCAATTTATTAGAAAAACAACCAGTTTCAAAATAAGGGGGAAATATTAACTAGTGATTCAGCTACTTAGGTGCAAAAAAAGAATACTCACATAGCTGCGTGAATGCCATCAACAATTGCACAAACGTCAAACAGGTAGCACCTTATGGTCAGAGGCCGGTATTCTGTTGCTTTAAGCCAAGCTTCTTCGGCATCTTCGTCAACCACATTAATTGTACGAGGCTGGTATGTCGAGAGCTCAGGAATGTCCATTCTTGACAGGCTCCAAGTAGAATTCTGATTTTCTGAACAGATAAGAAAATGACATGATCGAAATTATATTCAGGGTTCGGAATGTCTGTGAAATGAAGGAAATGGTTAATAAAGACATTCTCACCCTCCATCCCAAGAATTTCATATTTTAACAAAAACATCCATGACTTATTTAACATGCATGATGCACCCTCTTCCACAACCAGTCAAGCACTTACCAGAGACCGGCAGCAACTACTACGGAAAAATACATTTCAAACTGACCCATTTAAGCCAGCACACGGTATCGGCAAGCAAATGACACGAACAATCACACACTGTCTTTCCCAATAATACTTATTCAATCCTCCGTATTTAAAAAGAACTGGTTTAGATTAAAAAAACACCAGATTCGGAAAGCATCAAATTTCAGTTGAAGGGAAAGTGTGGTTCAACCAAAACAAACCCCTATTCTGTGAAGATCCTAATACGTGTCCGAAAATCCATTTAACATGTTGGTTGTTGGAGGATGTATATGTGTTCAAAGAATAAATGCATTAGAGCACAACTAATTATGACAAGAGGTTTACTCATCCTCGGAGCATATATTCATTCTTCAGATTCAAATCCAATTATTCAATTTCTGTAGCATCCAAATTCGAACCCAATGATTCAATTTCAGAAATTGTTCATATTACATGTTTAAACAGCAAACGAAGTAAATAACGTAGGTTTAAAACGAAATATGCAATTTTTAATTTCCAATATTCAGATTTGAGATGGTTAAATGGCATACATAGTGTAGAGATTTCATTTTATTGTTTATGTTACAAAACATGCGGTTCAGATCGCAATTTCATATCTAACACATTATGATTAGAATCAGGAAAATTGAAAATACCTGAAGCGCGAGTGAGTGGATTTCGGGGTAGAAGCTGGATCTCGAAGGTTGCAGCGTCCTCCTCTTCAATGGAAGGGAAGACAACGAATGCGTCTTTTTCGAGGAAGTTCTAAAAATGTAGCGTGGAGAAAACCAGCGGATGGGATTCTCTGTGTGCGGCTCTGAATAACCCTACGATTGCTGTGCCGTCTAAGAGCATCTCCAGCGGATCGTGCAAAAGGAATTAAAGTGTAAAAAATAAAAGTTTTAGCCTTTACTGTACACAATTTGGAACTCCAACGGGTAGGCTATAAAATAGACGGTAGTGTATTTCTCCATTCTGATCGTGTAAATATAGACGCGGCTGTAGCAAAGTGGAAAGGTGAAAACTGAAAAGTCATATGCTCGATCTTCTCCTTCCTTTTTCTCCGTGCTCTCCAAACCCTAGAATAAGATCTGAAAAACACTTCTCCATCTGCTCGATTAGGGAAAAGCTTCCCCAAGGCATGGACCTATGTTTTTTTTTGTTTTGATGATTCCAATTCAGCCACTAATTCTCGTGGGTTCATTTTTTATCATGGGGATTGAAGAAATCAAGTTTCTTTTTTTTTGTGGATTGTTTCCGATTTGCTTGAATTGTGAATTGAAGCCATCTGCTAGATTTGTGGATTTTTTCTCACCGATTGAAGCTATTAAATTGAGTATTTTAAAAAAAGAAAGTAAGAATTATAGAAGTTGTGGTTGGAGCACATCTAAAAAAATTGATTTTTGAAGTACTGTAGATAGTCTAAAAGTACATTTTAGCCTCTCACTTTTAACCTACCCGTTGGAGTTGCTCTAATAAGAATAACAACAGAAAGTACGTACAAATATAAGGGCAAATAGCGCTGGTACCCCTCGTGGTTTGCAAAACAAGCACCAATACCTCCTCTGTTTTCAAAACTCATTTCTAAAGTCCCTGTGGTTTCAAAATGCTGCACCCGTGCCCCCTCTGATCATTTTCCGGCCATTTTTCCGGCGAAGAGGGGGGCATTGGTGCATGTTTCTTAAACCATAGGGGGTATCGGTGCTTATTTTTATTTTTTGCATATTTTTTGTTTTTTCCATTTTTCCTTTTTTTCAATTTATTAATAAAGGTTTTTTAAAATTATTTTTTATAATGTTTCTTTAAATTTAAAGTTACTTTTGTTAGAAAAAATTTAGATAAATTTAAATTTAAATTTAAACATTTTTGAAAATGTTTAATTTGAGATAGATTTAATGCATGTTAATTTTTTTATTTTTATTTTTATTTCAAACACGGAATTTTAAAATTTTTGAAACATTGTAAAAAATTGAAAATATATTTTAAGAAAAATCTAGGAAAAGGAAAAAAAGAGATAGAAAATATTTTTAAAAAGAGAAGAATAATAAACGAAAATAAGAAATAAGCACGAATGCTCCTTATGGTTTAGAAATTATGCGCCAATGCCCCCTCTTTGCCGGAAAATGATCGGAGGGGGTGTGGGTTCAACGTTTTGAAACCACAGGGACTTTAGAAATAAGTTTTGAAAACAGAGGGGGTATTCGTGCTAATTTCTCAAACCACGGGGGGCATGGAAGCTATTTGGCCACAAATATAAACATCCAAGCTGATGAAAATATTTTTTTGAATTTATTTGATTTAAAGAGTTGATCATTTAAAATAATAATCTAAACACTTCTTGTTTTATAAAATATACTCCATATTAACTTAGAGATATATTTTTGACCAAGAAAATAAAAGTCAAGTAAGAAGAATATTTCCAGACAGAGTATAATATTGTCACATCTTCTTTTGTACTATCTCCGTCCTAGATTATATGGCCAATTTTGACTTTTTCCGTCAATTGTTTTTAATCTTTGACCTATAATTCAAGAAAATATATATTGTATATTAATTATATAAAATATTTTAAAAAAATATCTTGTATAATAAATCTAATAAAACTATTTTATATCAATATATATTTATTATGATTGTTACTATTCACACAGTCAAACTTTAAATACTTTATTCACACGGCGATTCACAAGTTGTCTTCTCTCTCACCTGAAAAATTATTACTATTCACACGGTTAAACTTTAATTACTATATTTGCACGGTGATTCACAAGCTATCTTCTCCCTTATATTCTTTAGGTAGAAAATATTTCAAAAAAGGCATGAAGGTGTGTAATTTCATTAATATCTTACTTAAGCCCCGTTGCGTTCAACTTATTTTTTTTATTTTTTCTTATTCTTATTAAAATCAGAATAAATCAGATCAGACCAGATCAGATTAGATCTAATCAAATCAGATCAAATCAGATCGAATTAGATCAGATCCAGATCAGATCTCATCAGATTAGATTAGATCTGATCTGATTCGATCTGATCTAATCTACAAAGTGGCCTATCGGACAGAGCCTCTAATATTTTAAGTTTCATATTTTTAAATTTGGCATTAATTTTAAGGAATGAGTACGCTAAAAAAAATAGGGCGTAAAATGTAAATTTTGGATCGGCTCAATATTATTTTTTCATTTTTCGAGACCGGTCATGTCAATACTTTGGTGGAAAGATAAGAGGCTTGTGAAATCATTTTCTCGAGTTATTATCAAATTCTCAAACATCGTTAAGTTTGATGAAGTTTGTGGAATCTCGAGCACGTTTGTTTCTGGGGCTGGACATAGGGATTTAGGGCGAATCAAGATACATCGCTGTCTTCTCGCACTCCATTTTTTGTTGAATTATCTTCCTTCATGGGTGTTTATGAGTTTTTTGTTTTATAAGGCAAAAAATTTATACTCGATTGTAGAACGCTTCTATTCACCCCCCTCTAGAGATGTAAAAAACATCTAACAAATAATTAATACTCCGCAAAATTATTATCATTTACGAGGTTCTTACAACTTTTCTCTCTGTTCTAAATTAGATTACAATGTCTCCATATGAGTCAAAATCTTGCATTTTATAAGATACAATTTATTTAGCAGTTAGTATAAAAATAATTAATAAAATTTATAAAAATAATTAATAAAATTTACATATTAAAAACTTGCGAAAAATTCTAAAAATAAGAAGTGACAATAAAGTCAAACTTTATTAATATTATTTATCTATTTTTATTGATTACTCCCTCCGTCCTACTGTGTTTGTCCACTTACCTTTTGGCACACCATCCAATGCACTTCTTTAATTTATTTTATCTTGTAATTTGTATATTAAAAAATTATAAAAGTTATATATTAATAATCTATATGTTAAGACGAATCAAACAAAATCACACATGACTAGTTTTAGGCTTATACATTAAGAAAATTTGATGAGTCAAAGTGCTTAAATGAACAGTTCCAAAAGTCAAATGTGAACAAAGACAATGGGACGGAGGTAGTATTTGATAAAATAAGTTACCACTTCTTTTGTAGATCCTTTTAATATATATTTGATCGACTTTATTTTCAATTCAATTGATGTGGTTATAGTTGTACTATATAAAATAAAAATTAAATGTTAAAAATGTTAAATATATTAATTATTTTAATATATTTAGTATTATATATTATAATTATGGTTGTTACCTATTATAGCTAAAGTTATTATTATATAATATTACCTTATATAATTAGTCATTAATGTAGATGATTCTAGAATATATTCCTTCACCTATAAATACATACGTTGTATTCCTCTCTTATTCATTCAATCAATAAAACGTTCTTTGTTATTTTACATGGTATCAGAGCCTTTGCTCTTGGTGACCTAATAGTTTTTGCTTCCGGCGACGGCGACCCATTTTTACTTTAGCTTGTTCTTCCTTTGATCCTAATTCTTTCATAATTCCATCTAGAAAAAAAAGTTCCTAGCCAACCACAATCGTCTGTTTCTAGATCCATCACTGCCGCTTCTTGATAAACGATGATATTGTCACATCAACTTGCTCAGTAGGCATATTTTTAGTTAACAAGCACCCCTAGCAACACTTCATTCTTTTTGTTTCTCCTCTAAATTAGTCGTGCACGACTCTAGCGCATGTCAACCTTCTCCATCTTTCGACGTCAGCAGCATCGGTCTATTCGTAGCGACTTTTCTCCTATCTTCATGAGCGCCATCAGGTCTCTTTCTTGGCAATCTTTCTTCTTCTCTTCTGGGCCGGATGCATATAGTCTACTCAAGCCGAAGATATGCATCTAGCTTCTGATTACAATTCTGGTCACGATTCAAGTAAAGGTTAGCGTTCAATCTTCACCTTCCAAGACATTAGTAGCATGTTAAATATATGTATTATTTTAATATATTTAGTATTTTATATTATAATTATAGTTGTTACCTATTATAGCTAGAGTTATTATTATTATATAATATTACCTTATATAATTAGTCATTAATGTGGAGGATTCTAGAATATGTTCCTCCACTTATAAGTACATACTTTGAATTCCTCTCTTATTCATTCAATCAATAAAACGTTCTTTGTTATTTTACAGAAACCCACATTAAAATTCCAAAATACTTTTTGTATTATATATTGGCATAATTGACATTGTAAATGCATTTTAACTCATATTTTGAAAATAAAAGTATGAAATTCTTATTTTGATAGATTTTCTATATTTTACCCTTATATATTTTGACCAACAAAAGTCAAAAAAGAAAATTAAATTTGGACGGAAAGAGTATTATATTATGAAATATATAGTGAAAATAATAAAAACAAATAAAATTTGGCCATGTGAATAATGCACGGAAAAATATTTACGGACGGAGTGTATACAGATAAAGAGAGAAATATGTAAGAAAAGAATTGTACTCCGTAATTAATTGAAAGAGTTGTGTTTCTGTGATCTCAATGTTATACTCCCTCTGTCCCACTAAGATGTTCTCATTTTGACTTTTGGTGGTTTTTAATAAGAGTTGAAAAAAGGTGAAAGTTTACCATAATACCCTTAATGAAAATGGGTGGAGTATATTAAATGAGGTGGGTGAGGTGTAATAAATAAAGTAAGTGAGGGTAATTATGGTATTTTATTTGTTAAAAAATGATATGAGAAGATCTATTGTGGACAAAAAAAGGGCTATTGGGAAGATCTATGGGGGACGGAGGGAGTAATATACTTCCTCCGTCCGAAAATATTCTTCACATTTGACTTTTCTTGGTTAAAGTTTGTAAACTTTGAGTATGATATGTGGGAAAAGTACTTGTATTACAATATAATTTTAATATGAATATAT